AATGACTCGCCATTCGCCTTTTTCATTGGCTCTCGACCTGGCTCTTTTCGGCCGTAGCCCTCTTCGGCTCTGGCTTGGTTTCGGGTTTCTGCCAATTCCTCCATTTGCATGTATTTCTCAGCTCGCCATCGAGGTCATTCATATCAACAGGTGACTTTTTGCATAAACTGTTCACGAATGGTCCCGGTCTGAGGGTCGTGCTCAGTCGGTCCAATGCCACGGCAGGATTAAGATCGCCAATCTCCATTGCAATCTTGTTGAATCGATCCATGAAGTTTCTCAGGCTTTCCTTCTTTTCTTGACGGACCCCCTCCAAGGCTAACGAGGTCGTCTTGTACGGCTTACGCCCCCTAATTTTTTGGGGCCCAATCCTTAATCACGGCCCAATACGAACATCTATAAATAGAGCTCCAACGAGGTATGTAACCAACTTTCAACTACCGCATTTATTACGCCGAGCACTAACTTGAGCGTCGGAGTGTCTTTGCAGGCACCCCCCACATCGCTTCAGACTACCCGGATCAGAACGAGAAGACCGAGACCCGACCCGACTCAGCTAGGATAATTTGAGTGTGTCCTAACACAGGAACATTTGGCGCCCACCGTGGGGTCGAAGAGACATTTTCAGCCCCATATAACTCTACAATTGAGACCGAGGCATGGTAGTAACCCGGAAAGTATACTCCCACCCTTCTCTTTTCTCTCTGTTTTTTATTTTTCTTTCCTTTTCTTTCTCTTTTCCTACTATGCTGCATGAGTGTTAATGAACCTCAAACCACCTTATTTTACCTTTTTTTTTTTTTATTTTCATGATCATCATAATACAACACCTTATTTCTTTAGTTAGAGTCAATATCAGTTTTTTCTTATTTCAATATATATCTTTGAGTTAAAAATTTTATAATAATAACTAAAAATATTATCAATCTTAGATCTTTCCATAAAATAGGTCTTTGCACATGCTTTCAAGGGTCATTTTTCACCGGTTGTTTTCCCTCTAAAAGACATTATTCATCTTTCAAAGCTCATTTTCATATAAAATTGTAAAGTTTAACAACTTCAAAGATAAATATATATAATCTTAATTTTTAATTTAGATTATATCACTACACCAAAATTAGGTTTTTGTGGCAATTAATTTATTTTTTAGCGGTCATATAAATGATCATTATTTCTTTTACCAACATTTAAATAATGGCTGGTATATCCAGTGTCACTAATACTATTATCGACATTTATATAAAATGCTGGTAAAAACCTACTAAATTATCGAGAAAACTTATTTTTTTTAGTGGCAATTATAGTAGCCATTTTAAAGGCTATTAAAAATTTTTTTTTCAATTGTCTCCTTTTCATCCATTTAGTGATTTTATCTTTTGCTAGTAAAACTTTAAATAATTTATTCCTATAATTTTCTTTTCTAAATTCATAACTTATATACTTTTTTTTTATCTCTAGTCGATGTGGGATTTGTAAGATGAGGGTTGTCTTCTATTTATTTTTTTAATTGTCTTATCTCTTAAGAGATGTGAGATTTATAAGGTAAAAGTTGCTCTCTAATTATTTTATAGCACTATTGAACTTGGTAATAGTGAGTGATTTGATACTAATTTATTATAGTGAATTAAGAGTCTAACTCAACCCTATAAAATTAACTTATAAGGTGATAGTTATTGCTTATTTATATATTATTTAATTATCTTATCTCTAATTGATGTGATACTAGTTTTTTCAATAAATAATTGTCGCTAATAGTAAACTTTAATGTAATATAAATACATTTTTAGTAGTTATTATATATTAGTCATTAATATTTTTATTATATAATTAAATAGCAACAATTAAATTATTGTTATTAAATATGTCGTTAATAACAAATTTTGTTGTAGTGTATATTGTGATTGTGTGTCCTATATTTTAAATATTAGTTATGTGGTAATGTTTGTATTGTATTTGGTGTTCCTATTTTTTAGGATACTTCATAAATATAGAGAAAATTTGAAAGAAGGATAAAGACAAAAGAATAAAAGAAAAAAAAGAAAGAGAAACCAAGAAAAGAAGAGAAATTTAAAATTGTCATATACATTCAAAAACCAAAATGATAGTTTAATTAAAAATAAAAAAATGAAAAAACTTAAATATTTTATTTTAGTTTTAGTCTCGATTTGGTTTATTTTAGTCTTTGATAAGTGAATGTCACACTACTTATCACTTAACGATGTTCTTCTTAATAGGAATTAAATCGAAACTGACATACACAGACTTAAATGATGATTTAACCAATGAATTCATAAGGAATTAGAAAGAAGTACGTATAGGACATACTTATAGCAATTGAATTACGTACGTAAAAGCTGAGTTGATAGGATTATTAATTTATTAGATAAACTAATTCTGGAAAAAAGGGTAAATAAACGTAAAAGCTGAATCAAAGCTATCTAACGAAGTTTTTACGTTCAACAGAATTGAACGTTGATTCAAACATATACTATAAAACATATTCATTGATGTCAAGAGAAAGAACAATCTTAAAACAACCGGTTCAAAAGGTGTTTTTATTTATTTATTTATTTTGGAGGCTACTCTTACACACTCACACTAGAGTGATAAATCTAAAAAGGGCTATTCATGCTGTATCCAACGAGAAGGACCCCTCTTGAGTGATGAAATGATCAATGTCATCTTAACCTTTCATTAGTACTCTTCCCAAAAGTTGGTTGTAGCTAGATACTTAAAGAATGACATAAAAAAAGGAAGTGGGTTAATAAAAGAAAATGTTTAAACACTTTGAAAGACAATAAAATGGTTTTTTTTCTTTTTTTCTTCTTGAGGTTTTGGCATGGCCACATCTGCATGCATCAATTATTTTATTTCAGATAAAATACGAACCTTTTTTTTCAGCTTTGAATTTGAATTGAAGGAGGACAACACGTAACACAAAAGAAACAGCACCCCAATCCTATTTTACCAACACATTCAACTAGGTGCCAAAATACCATTTACAAATGTCTGACGCTAGTTGTTAAAAAATCGCATAAGTAATTAATTTGAATTTATACAAATAGTCTCACTTATTTAATATTTATCAGACCCTCAAGAAGATTATCTTTATATTCAATAAAAAAAACTCTTTGATAATAAAAAAAAAAATAAATCATATCCAACCACACTTATTACACACTTGTGGACTTTAGGATTATTTTGTGAGCTGTGTTTGGTTAAATAGAGAAGAAATTAAAAGCAGGCAGTGTCTATAAATAAGTATAGGAAGAGGGTTATTGATTATTTAATGAGAGCAATATCATAGAGTGATATCGAGAGAAAGAAAAATGAGGAGAGAGTGTCATCCTTTGCTTGGAGGTGGAAGCAAATATGAGCATTCTCTTTCTTCAGCTGAGATGGAATCCATTGCAAGCATATGTGAGGCTCTGTTGCCTCCTCTGCACTTTCACACAACAGCTAAGTCTCACCAAAGCTTTTGGAAAGCTTCTGGTTCTCAATTCCCTGTCCCTAATCAGGTACCACTTTTTTTTCTACTTCCTACTATAAAACTGCTTTCACTTCCTTTAGTTTTGCTTTGCATGCGACAAAAGATTTTTCATCTAACATAATCAACATAACTAGTACACAACTATATTCTTTAAATACATCATTATGAGTTTGATTTTGAATATGTAATCATACACACGGAACAACATGTTTTTAAACAAGTCAATCTCTTATATGAAACTTTGTATCTCAACAAATTAGTCTTTAATTCTCACCCGGAAATTACCTAGACAAAGAAAAATAATAATTTTTGCATAAAAGGCATTGTTGGGTTTGTTCAAAATTCAGCAAAGTGATTACTATTGGGTTTGTCTGGCAAGTTTGAGAAAAAACATTTTAAGGGTCATCATGTTTGGGGAGATGGTTGGAGGGGAAAACACAGAGGAAGAAAGACAATCTGAGTCATTTTTGACTTGTCGGTGGGATTATGAAATTTATGTTGGAAGTTGTATTCTTTTAACGTGTTTCTCACATCTTTTACCATTATTTATAGTTTGCACCCATTTTTGATTGCTTGTCGGGTTACAATTGGAGTAGGCATTCAAAATTTTTATGTGTCTAAGTAAGCTGAATTTTCTTTCTTCTTCATAAATTAATTACGTTATAATCTAACGTCTCCAACTCATCAAATCTATGCCAAAGATAATTTATTAAAAGCGGCATCAATTTTTGACTTTTCGAAATGTAACAAATCAATCATTAATTAGTATAAATAATTCTAGATGGAATTTTTTTTTTAATGTATTTTAAAAACAAATTTTAGTTATATTTCATGATAAAGAAAAAAATTAGCTATATTTCAGAAAGTCTTTTTTAAAACATATTATTAAATAGAATTTAATTAAAATATAAACTTCTTTTACATCATTGTCTAATTATAAATTGTCATGATAAAATGATTTGTTTTTATAATAACCAGTTTAAAAATGTATTTAAAATAATTTTTAATTAATCAAGAATATAAAAATATTTATACTAATAGCATTTGAATAAATACTTTTTCAGAGTTGAATAAAAAGCAGTTGTAATATTTATTTTTTTGAATTAAACTATTGGTAGTAATTATTATTATTCATGATCATAACTTTTCATCAATGAATGTACCGAATTAGGTTCTGTAGTTAATGAGTATTGCGTTTTGAATTGCAAAAGGGGCCAACCTGTCTCATAAAAGAAGGACTTGATTGTGAAATAAAAATGTGCGGAATGTCTCAGTACCAAAGTATGAATTGCTGGGTCATCTCGAAAAAAAACACAATAAATAAATAAATAAATTACATATTTACTTTGGATTTTTTAAAATATTTTTTCTGTATTTTAATTTGTATAATATATAGACATATTTATTATATTTAATTATAATTTATAATAAATTATATATATATATATATTATATTTGAATAATTTATATTTTATATTTATGATAAATAATTTATATTGCAGTATTTTTTTATTGATAATTTATTTTAAAAATAATTATGATAAATAAAAATTAAATTAAATAAGAAGCTAAAAAAATTCTCACAACCTCTTTTATTGAAAAAAAATTCTTAAAAATAATCTTGTGTAAAATAGAGGTTTATGTTTAATATATTATCTAAAAGACTTGCATAAACTAGTGTATCTAAATAATAAAATTATAAAAAATTTGATTTAATTTATTGTATAATAAATATCAAATTTATTGTATAATAAAAAAATATAATTATAATATTAATAGTTCTTCCGATTAAATTGTTGCAAAAACAAGTCTTAAATTAGATATAAAATAAATAAATTAAATGTACAATAAATTTGTTATATAACAAATCACAGATTATACACATAATAGATCTATTGTGACATAGTTAAACTTAACATTAAAAAATAATAAATAAAATTTAGGTAGGATGGTAGGACAATCTACCCCAATGCACCATCTGAATCGATGAACTGATGGACTATGATACTTAACTCGACTCGTTATTTTTTTTTGACAAGTCAGTGGATTCTAACCTATTTTTTCATTCTTACATTTTTTAATCATATAGTTTTGTTTGGACTTTTTTTTTTTCTGAATTGACTACATATTATTTTTAATACTTTTTTTTTTCTTTTTTTATAAAATTCAAATTGAGAGTATTGTTTGATTTTTTATAAGAATTAATTTAAAATATCTTTTATATTAAAATCTTGTCTCTTAATTTAATAAGTAAAGTAAAAGTTTAATTAATATTAAGGGTAGTTTAAAAAAATATAAATTTAATACTATCAACTAAAGTAATTAACTTCTTTAATTATAATACGTTATGTAAAATAATAGTATTTATTATTTAATGATGTGCAAAATTTTAATTTAGTTTTATTATTTGATTTTTTTTAAATTTCAAACCACCAAATAATCATGATTTCTTGTCAGAATTTCCATGAAGAAAAGAGAAATTAAGATTTTTTTAACTCTTTGCTGAATGAATAATTATTAGTATTTTTAATATTGACTCAAAATTTGTGTTTAACCTTATTATATGATGAATTTTTTTTTATAGATAATCTATTTCAATAGTTTAATGAAGTGACTATTCATATTTAATTTGATGAATTTAGTCTATTCAATATTGTGAGTTTAGTCTTATGAGAATCATTGAATCATTCATAATGACTTGGATTCCTAATTAAAAGATAGTAAATTTTAAAAGATACATCTTGTTTATATTAAATATTGATGTTATTAGTGTTTTTCTTAAATATGAAGGATAAGCGTGAATAATTATTTTGTTGTAAAGAGTTAATCTTATTTTTTATATAACAAAAATTGTTCTCTTTATAGATGTAGGTCAAATTAGTTGAATTACACAAATCTTATTATTCTATTAATTTTTTGAGTTTTGATGTTGTGTTTTATTTTTCCTACATAATTGCATTGTGTTATGCATTTTCTTTAGGTTATTTGTGTGTTTGGTTTTTAATCCGAGCCTATTTAAACAAAGCAATAAAGAATCATTAGATATATTAATACTAACAATAACAAATGCATATCTGATATAATGTTATGTAACTGTTTTTTAGGACCAACAATTATTTTTATTCATTTTTTATTGATAGAAATTACTTTTACTCAGTTAATGAAGATATTAAGAAAAATATAAATTCTATTAAATTTTTAACCATTACTTTTATTTAAAAGACTTATCTTAGCAAGTATTTTAACATTTCTTGATATGTATTGAAATTTAATTTTACATTTTTTTAGTGTAAAATCTTATTAGAATAAAATTTATCATCCGTATCACTATAATATCATTCCTTCGTTATCAATAAAAATTAGGCTAAATTGATAGGCTTGGAACTTATGGATTTATCAAGATTAAAATCTTTAGATTTTTTTTCTCCCTTTTTATTTTTGTTATAAAATGTATTTATTAACTTGTAATTTCGACCAACTTTAATACACTTTTACCCACACAATTATATATAAAAAATTCATACTACTAAACTAAGTTTCTTGTAAGAGCAACTTAATTAAAATAATTTTTTTAAAGAAGAATTCATTAACTTCAAGAATAAGTCTTAATAAAATAAAATACTAAGTAATTTTAAATTTTGTTCAGATTTAACTTATAATTAAAATATTTTTTAACTCCTTTAAAGTGTTTCAAATTCATTTTTAATCTTTTAATTTTTTATATATTAAATTAGTTTCTCTAAAAAAATGATGGATCCTTTAGTGCATTAATGTTAGCCAAGTAAATAGAACAAATTCGATTAGTAGTCTAGCATGTTATGGGGCTAGGTAGGACCCACCGTTTTGCTTACAGCTTTGAGAAGAAATTTTAATGCAAACACACCAATAAGGGAACCTATTTCGACAACTTTATAGACAGAAAATGTTGACTTTTATACTTCAAATTAGTTAGATTTTAGCCTTAATACCTAAAGGAATGCATTGCACATTGAAAGGTGTTAAGGCCCGTTCGTCTAAAGATTCAATAAGGACCTAAATTAAGCTCTTGAAATTTAAGTCTAATAAAAATTTGGCGAATTCAACCCGACATAATGTTGGACCTATAATACAATTAGGCATGTTTTGGGCCTTTTAGCTCAATAATTTATAATCTATCAACAATTTAGATCAGCCTAACCCACTTTCACACCTTGACCTGGTAAGCGTCAGATAACTAATCCGATTTGTTATCTCTACACAATAGCAAGGGAGCCAAAAATGTATTTACTATTATTTTTTTTATAAAAAATTATCTATTATATATTTATTTATTTATTTATTTATTTATTCTCTTTATAAAAGTAATTGGTATAACATATTTACTAACTTTCCTAATAACTAATTTCTTTTAAAAAAACTTTCAATCATTTTCAACAAGGTATTTGAGATACACGTTTAGTTTCACTCTGTACAAGTGAGACTTGGTACTCGCTATTTGATATTTAAATGTAGCATTAAAGATTATTTTCCTAACAATATATTATGCATTATTTTGTGAAAAAACCAGTTATGATGCAATCATAACTGCTGAGAGTAGCATTTAGTTGTCAGTAATTGGTAACAACAACCTAATAATGTGAAATGTTCATAGATTGCAGAGATACTGATAAAAAGAGCTCTAAAAGAAGCAGTGATACTACTGAGAGTGATTCTGTGGATGCTGTCAACAAGACTGGGCACTTTGTTGCTATGTGGCACTCTCTGTCTGAGTAAGAAATGGCCCTTCATCCATAGCTTCTCAAACATATCTTTGGAAAACAGAGAAAAAGTTCTGCAGAAATGGTTCAAGCATCGCTTCCTCACACCAATTAGACTCGCATTTCTTTACATCAAAGTCCTTTGCCTCTTTGTTTTCTTCTCTCAGGCAATGCCACTTTCTTCATTCACAACTTTTCATTAATGTTCATATCTCTTCCCTAAATGTGTGTGTAATTGGACATTCACTTTACTTGTTTGCAGTGTGATGAGAAGGGTGAAAACCCTGCATGGGAAGCTATAGGATATAAGGTTGACACTGGTGGGATAAAAAAGAAAGTTCACAAAGAGAGGCCTCTAGAGAAGGGAATAGTGGAAGCTATGAATGAGAATGACACAAGTCTTCCTAAGTCTCTTATTAAGAAAGGTCTTGAAGTTGGTATAGATGCTAAAAACAAGGTCCTAAATATCAAATGTGATGTGATAATTGTTGGGTCAGGTTGTGGTGGAGGAGTTGCAGCTGCAGTTTTGGCAAGTTCAGGCCTTAAGGTTCTTGTTCTTGAAAAGGGAAACTACTATACCCCTAATGATTATTCTTCTCTAGAAGGACCCTCTCTGAATGAGCTTTATGAATCAGGAGGAACTTTTGCATCATGGGATGGGAAAGTTGCACTTTTGGCAGGGTCAACAGTGGGTGGTGGTTCTGCTGTTAATTGGGCAGCATCTATTAGAACACCAGATTGTGTGCTCAAGGAATGGGGAAAAGACCACAAGCTACCTCTCTTTTCAAGCCACGAATATGTTTCTGCCATGGACACGGTTTGTAAAAGGATTGGTGTAACCGACAAGTGTGTGGAGGAAGGGCTCCAGAATCAAGTTCTTAGGAAAGGTTGCGAGAAGCTTAGTCTTCAAGTTGATTACGTGCCAAGAAACTCACCAGAGGCTCATTACTGTGGCTCTTGCAACTATGGTTGTGCAAAGGGAGAAAAACAAGGAACAGAAGTTACATGGCTTGTTGATGCTGTGGATCATGGAGCAGTGATACTAACAAAAACTAAAGCTGAAAGGTTTATATTGGGAGATAACAAGAGAGGGAGTGAGAGAAGAAAGAAATGCTTAGGAGTGATGGCAAATGTTTTAGCAAACAACATCACTTGGAGGCTGAAAATTGAGGCCAAAGTCACAGTTTCAGCATGTGGTGCTCTTTCCACACCTCCTTTGATGATCTCAAGTGGATTGAAGAATAAGCACATTGGCAAGAATCTTCATATCCATCCAGTGCTAATGGCGTGGGGGTATTTTCCAGAGTCAATTTCTGATCTCAAGGGTAAAAGCTATGAGGGAGGAATAATCACTTCTGTCCACAAGGTGCTATCAGAGGACTCCACAGTGAAGGCTATAGTTGAAACTCCAGCAGTGGGGCCAGGAGCCTTATCTACATTGGTTCCTTGGGTGTCTGGACTTGACTTCAAAGAGAGAATGCTGAAATATTCAAGGACAGTTCATCTGATCACATTTGTTAGGGACAAGGGTTGTGGAGAAGTGAAGAGAGAGGGTAGGGTGTTTTATGAGTTAGATGAATCAGACAAAGAGAACCTAAGGGATGGGCTTAAGCAGGCACTGAGGATTCTAATAGCAGCAGGAGCTGTTGAGGTAGGTACTCACAGAAGTGATGGACAGAGAATTAAGTGTAATGGGAGTAATGAGAAGGAATTGGAGAAGTTTGTGGAGTCGGTGTATGCAACAGGAGGGGCAATGTCACATGAAGAAAAGTGGAGTGTTTATAGCACTGCACACCATATGGGGAGTTGTAGGATGGGGAAGAGTGAAAAGGAAGGTGCAGTGGATGAAAATGGGATGAGTTGGGAAGCAGAAGGACTATTTGTTTGTGATGCTAGTTTACTTCCAACTGCAATTGGGGTCAATCCCATGATAACTATACTGTCCACTGCCTATTGTGTTGCCAACAGAATTGCAGCATTCTTGAAAATAGAATAGAATTTGTTGTTGTTGTTGTTGTTTTTTTTTTTCAAGCTAGCATGTCCCTGACAGTGTAGATGAACAAAGTATAGTGCAACAAACATACAATAATAGTTGCATAGGTTGTTTGGAACTTTGAATTGAAAAGCCATTCATGCTACTAAGAACATGTGATTAGCAATATTATGATTGTTTTCCATTCTTTTGAGTTTACACTCTTGAATTACTTTTCGCAATGTGGCTCATTAGTTTTTAACTCATCAGTTTACAAGTGGCCATTTGGAAAAAGGACTTCTAACTCGGATATAGACACTCGGGTATGGTTAATGTATAAAATATAATACACTCCACAACACGTGTTTGCATAAAGGGATTCTAATAAAACGAAATAAGAGTAACATAATTGTTTCGTAACTCTGTGGAACTATTTTATGACACTTCTCTCCCTCCCTCTTTTTAATCTAGATGTCACATTTGTCGTACAAACAATTTTGTTATATAAAATAAAATATCTAAATATATTTTTTTATGTGATTTTACATTTTATCAACGCCTGCAAAATACATGATATTGATACATGAATTCTATTTGAAATCCACCATTAATTCTAAAAATAAAAATATAAGGGATGGTGTAAGCTCAATAAAGGGAGTGGCCACATATCACTCTCTTTTGCTTCCATTTTCCAATACCAATCACAACTTGTAACGGTAATAACGGTTCTTTACAAGTGGGGTTGCTTCTCTCAAAAACACCTACTAACCATACATTTTTGCCTATACCGGATTACATTACATTCTTTTGTGTTACAATAATTAAAAACATATTCTACTACAAATGAATATTTTTATTTAATATTTTTTCACACAAAACAAATTGAATCTGAGAAGCTCGCTCCGTACGAGGAAACACGGATGTTATGTTATTATTATTAGAGACAGAAAGAGAAGAGAGAATGAGATCTACGTGCTTATGCACAAAAGCTATATTTTTTCTCCTTAATCTTCCCAAGTATGGTTTCATTGTGAATTAACATGTTAATATATTCGATCTGTGTATCTTCGATGTGGGATTAATTGTGTTTTGGCTTTTGCTACATGATTTGCAGAAATTTGTAGATTTAAATACAGAGAATTAGATAAAGAAATCATCCATCTATAGAGGAAAATGACCGCAACATTATCTAGCTTCTGGGGTCCGGTCACATCAACTACAGATTGCTGTGAAAAGAATTATGAATATTCATCTTATATTGCAGAATTTTTTAACACAATATCCAGCGTTCCAACCATTCTTTTGGCTCTTGTTGGTCTTGTAAATGCTCATACACAACGGTTTGAGAAAAGATTTTGTGTTCTTCACATATCCATTATGGCACTTGCCCTTGGAAGCATGTTGTACCATGCTACACTACAACGTGTGTAAGTATTGACCATTTGATCTTCTCAATCATTTTTTTTTTTGCAGTAATTTATATAAATTTTGGCTGCTGTGGCTTGGTTTACATATTGTTTTTGAGTTATTCTGCATTTTATTCGAATGTTGGTTGAATAATTGAAGAATTGATATTGCAAGGGATAGATCATATATTAGCATCATGTTGTGTAGAGAATGTTTATTTTAGTGTATTTATCTATCAACAATTGGGACTGGTTTGATTTAGGCAACAGCAGAGCGATGAAACTCCAATGATGTGGGAGATTCTGCTATACATGTACATCCTGTACTCTCCAGATTGGCATTACCGTCGTACAATGCCCATTTTCCTATTTGTATATGGTGTTGTTTTTGCGATGGTCCATTCAGTGGTCCGTTTTGGAATTGGGTTCAAAGTCCATTATGTCATTCTCTGCCTTATATGCATTCCAAGAATGTACAAGTATTACATTTATACTGAAGATGTGTCTGCCAAGCGCATCGCACATCTATATGTAGCTACTCTTGTATTAGCAAGTTTGTGTTGGTTAGGTGATCATGTTTTCTGCAAGGAGATATCTCGTTGGCCAATTAATCCACAAGGGCATGCTTTGTGGCATCTCTTCATGGGTTTCAACGCCTACTTTGCAAACACATTCTTGATGTTTTGCCGTGCTCAACAATGTGGCTACTCTCCCAAAGTTGTCCGTTTGAAGGGTGTTTTACCCTTTGTCAAGATTCAGAAGCCAATAGCTATTAGTAAGAGTAAATAATACAAGATGGAAGTTTCTGTCATGATACATTTTGCAACAGGTGTTAGCAATCCTTGTTCTTGGCTTTTTTTTGTTTTTTTTTGGTATAGAGTGGCTTAAATGATTATTGATTTTTTTTATATATATATTTTGTTGTACACGTAGGACATGTACCATATGCCACTATATGGATGCTCGTTTGAGCCTGGACAAAACTCTATTTATGACAACCAAAATTTTTGTAATTCTGGTTGTGGTTCGATTCTCAGTTGAATCACCCTACATATTTACTGTAACACTTTGTGTAACCCTTTCCAAGTGACTTAGTATGTTATTAACTTTTATTTGTGGAGCTTTAAATGTAAAACTCAGTTTGATGTAGCTTTCCAGGGATTTTCCTTGAGAAAGTGGGCAATTTTAGAATATTATGACATTTTCCTGTCCCTTCTGGCTAGAGCCACTTTGTAGTGATTCTTTTCAAAGCTAGTTGGGAATCATGTTCTTTGCGACGGAAAAAGTTTAGTTGTAGTTATTCAATTTTACAGCTAAGGAGTAGCCTTGCTTGGTGCATAATTACATTAGTTTATTTTGTATTCGATCAAAAGCACTTGAGCATTTTGATTATAATAAATTCTTAAAAGTACAATAAGCTAATGAAAAAATGTTAGCAATAATCTGGCTTCTGTTGTCAACAAATACCAGTATCATAGATTATTCTGCGAAGCACTGGTTGTATTAGGATATTGATGCATAAAAAACATAAAAACGCTGCTACTCCTGTGTATTAAAACGTCAAAAGGGAAGTAATGAAAATTCATACTGCCTGCTTTCACATGTGGAGATATGTTTCTCTTTGTTTTTTTAGCCTGCTTGGATATAAAAGTCCTCCAGTTTCCTAGAATCCAATCATTCTCCATTTATAAATTAAGAGAGGCTTTTGATCCTATTGTAACAGTGATTGATGGTCGGGCAACAAATTGAATACATCAACATACCGAAAAACAAATCAACAAAAATCTGCAGTCGATGAGGAATACGAGGCATGCCAAAACCATAGTAATTGTTAAAAAAGAAATTAAAAAAAAAAAAAGGAGAACCATAGAAACGGAACACAGTTTATATCCTATCATCATATAATTTGTCCACACGTTACAAACTGCGTCTCCATTCACAATATTTGCAACATTTGATAGAACAAAATCAATTGTTTATCTCATTTGAATATAATATCAAACGTGATTCAAACTACATTTAAGGTAATTGAAAAATATTAACACCCCTCACCTCCAGGAATTGAATACAGCGCAGGCGTTAATTTTCTGCCATTGGCCATGTGAATTATTTAAGATCATGAGTGAACGATAGCTGTTCAAGCAAAGCCATCAATTAACTATTCAACAAGAGCGAGAAAAACGGAATGAAACTAACGGTCAACATACACTATGCACATCTTGACAGCTTCCTGAACCTTTGATTCGTTTCACTCAAAAGATAGAAAACACATGTACAGAGTATCTTTTCTTTTTCCCCTGTAGTGAAGGAATACAATAGAAAGTGAGAGAACAAATACACCTCCCTGCAATGGATCTAAGACTTCCTTTGAATCCCCTGTTGTAAAATTTCTCCAAGCCTCCAATATAGAGCTTCTTGTTCATCAAATGTTAGGTTGATCAATATCTGAAGCCACCACCGGTAGTACCATAAATTAAACTTCTTAAAATGCTAATTAATAGAAATACAAAGTAATATATATAGTAAAATAAACATAATACCTGGTCCAAAATCATTTCAACTGAGAGACTTTGCGGCACAACAAATGACTGATGATATATATACGCAAACACGGCCATAACCATCTACATCAGGACAAATTGGTCAAATTTTGCTTGACTTTCAAAGTTGGGTACTAGGATGGTTTTGACTTCCAATCCTAGCCTCAACTAATGAAATGAACAGGACTAAGGAAACAAATAGTGCACAGGCAGCAGAATGTAAAGGAGAGTGAAAAGTTGGAAGTTGCAAGGGAGTTTAAACCAACTAATGGCACCAAAAATCAAATAAATAAACATACATTCACTCAAAATACCTATAACACTTTCACAATAATATTAAATCAGACCTGGGTCTAAGCAGTATGCGTTGGATACTCATACTAGACTGGACCACCAAGACTTCTACCAGTTGCAAGTTTTTATTTGTCATTTGTCATTGAAGATTCTTTTGAATTTTTTTGGCTTCACATTTGAATCAAATGAATATAGCTTTTCTGTTCTACATGTATATTCAATGTATAAAATCTTCTTTACCGTTATATCATCTTTTTCATAGGACTTCTTTTTCCCTCTTTTTAAGCTTAGTTGGGGGCAGGGCAGAGACGTGAGAGAGAAAAACATGGTTACTTTATGTACTTGATGATTAAAAGTTTCCCACAAGGACAAAAAAGCATATATAATTCCAAGCAGTTAAGTATTACTGATTTAAAATAAATTTGTAGATTGAAACATCAAAAGAATCTACCTGGCAATCCATTCTGTCAGTAATTCCACCATGTCCTGGAATACTATCACCAAAATCCTGCAAAAATGAGAATAAACAGCAAGTCTGTTTATACCTGACCTCAATGGATGATATTTGCTCACTTCCTGATCAGAAAAACAAAAGTTTCAAAAGCATACCTTTATTTTAAAAGCCCTTTTAAAACCACTTGCAAAGAAGCCTCCAAAAGGTGCAATAATTGAGGCAAACAAGCCAAGACATAAAGCATGCCATTGAACTGGTAGGACTGATATCTCCTTCCAAGGAAACTGTATAGGACAACATATAGTGTGTCGCAGGTTATGATTTTCAAATAGTCCAAGAATCTGGATTCGCATCTCATGATTACAGATTGATCACATTTTATATGCTGAACTGTAATGTGGAAATAAAAAATAAAAAAAAATTCTAAAACATTTAGTAGTTGGTAGAAAATCTGATTTTCTTATCCTATGTAGAATAGAGATATTTTGTAATGAAAAATTTGAGTGTTGAATTTGAAAATAACTTGTGAGCAGGTCATAAGCTCTTTTCATAGGTTTATCCAAATGCTTACACAAGTGTTTATGTCATAAGATCAGACCATGTATGCTCTTCCAAACGTCCCCTTTATCCAAGAAGAATGAAGGTTAAAATCAATTGTTCCAATTTGACTTTCTTTACATTCATGATAAAAAAAATGTATTAAGTTAATGACTGGGCAAATTTGAATAAGTCATTGAGCCATTTGTTTTCAAGCTGATCTGTAACTTTCATGTTCCATATTTTTTCAAGTTTTTTATTCTTAGTCAAATTTACGGATTTTTTTTTTTTGCTATCTAAGGTATCCACATTGTGTTTTTGGTGAATTTTTTACAAGTTTGACAATGCACATACTTAAACTGTCAAGTAGATATTGATGTAGACCAAAAGATTCAAATTTCAGTTGAATTTCAAGTGCTTACCCAGTGAGAAATCCATCCTGGTAAGGAGTAAGATTCTGGCTTAAACAGTGGACCAGGATCACAGTGAAGCCAACCAGTTGACAAATCCTGCATGTTAATCACTCAGATTTGAGCATTAGTCAGTTTGTTGATGAATAATGCCTTACAATATACCAATTAGTTATGGTATGTTACAGAGCTACCTTTCTTGGACATGTTAGCCACTTTGAATGACCCATGATGTCAGCAAGCTACAAAATGAGTTTTCAACTACGATATTAGCATCTAGTTCAGAATGACTTAGCAAGAACTTAATTGCCATAAATAATGAATCTGATAAAGCTTTCTGAGAGTTTATTTAGGCTGTTGCAATCATTTAATAATGCTATAATAAGATAAGATGAATAAAACATCAAGTGATTCTGGTTCAGTGACAAGTGAACACCCCCCCACCCCCCCCAAAAAAAAAATTATATACTTGTTGCATCTTCATTAACAAATTGAAATTGTGCTCACCACAAATGCAGAGATGATGGTGGTAACAGATGCCCCAATAAAACCTTCCCAAGTTTTCTTTGGAGATAACTTAATCAAAGGGGTTCTTCCAAAGAAGAAACCAAAGAAATAAGCAGCAATGTCATTAATGACAATAAGTGTTGCTGGAAGAAGAAACCTGTACAGTAGGTCCAAATGTTAAAGAAAACAAACAAGACATTAATATGAGTGCAATTAAAAAGCAATGGTGCAGGACATATATCTTATTCATATTATAGCAATGGCCAAACACTAAATTAAATATATGAACACGATGATTCTATGAAAGCAAATATACATACACATAAAAACACTTTTAGCACTTAGCAGTTTAAGATGATACCATTATCATCAGTAAACAAAACAGTTTTTTTATTGAGGAGAAGATTTAAAATAATACCCTCAACAATCAACCCAAGCAAAAGCAAACGGGAATACACTTTAAAACTCAGTTCCCTGCGGTCTAAAAGGTTGGCAATTGATCTTGATTTATGGCTTTATTGGATCTCCTATAGTCCTCTTTGATGATAACACAATTATTTGGTTACCTCCCATGCAGTAGAAAATTTTCACTCATGACTCAATCCCTAATACTTTCCCCATCTTTCCTATCCTAAGGGACCTTGGTTCCATCATTTGGGCAAGACCAGATAACATCCTGTGTGTTCAGCCAACAAGCCCATAAATTATGTAATTAGTTCAACCATTGCTCCTTATGGTGATTATTATGGCATTAACTACCTGTCAAATAATATTTAAAAAACTGGCATAAAAAGTGTCCACATGTGTGAGGAATAGCATCATGAAGTATGATTTTATTTCATGCAAAAGAGAATACTCAAAATGTAGCGAATTTTTTTTAGCATAGTTGTAAAATAATCATTTCCTTTAATAGGTTATATTACCAGAAAATCCCTTCAAAAATGCTTGCCACAGTGAAGGAGGACTGGCCAAATACAACGATTAGAATCATATGTGTCCAAGCATACTGGCCAAATTGGTACTTGTACATTTTCTTCTTCAATGTGA